ACTTACTTAGGGCTGATTTGTGTCCCAGTATATGGTCTATTCTGGAGAACGTTCCATGTGCACTGGAGAAGAATGTATGCATAATTTTATCTTCCAATTCACCAATCTCTCCTCTGCCTCTTCATTACGAGCTGTGGTCCCCTCCATTATATTTGCACCTCATTTATAGCATTTTTTAGCTCCTCATGTCTATTTCTTAGTCCCTTTATCTCTGTAGCAACAGATTATTTGGTGTCCTCTATGCTTTTTTCAAGCCCAGCAATTAATTTTATGATTATTATTCTAAATTATTGTTCCATTATATTCCTTAAGTCATTTTTGATCAATTCATTAGCTGTTTCTACTTCCTGGAGTTTGTTTTGAGGAGAGTTCTTCCGTTTACTCATTTTGGGTACTTCCTGGGGTGGCACTTCCCCTGTGCTGTCTGGAGTAACTTGTGTTGGTGGGTGGGGCCACAGTCAGATTTCATGTCTGTCCCCAGCCCACCACTGGGGCCACAGTCAGACTGGTGTGTACCTTTATCTTCTCCTTTCCTAGGGGAAGGACTCACTGTGGAGTGGTGTGGCTCCTGTCCAGGCTACTTACACACTGCCAGGCTTGTGGTGCTGCTTTGATGGGATCTGATGTATTAGCTGGGGTGTATCTGCAAGGTGCACAGGGGCGGGAGGGGCAGGCTAAGCTTGCTTTGCTGTCTGTGGTCCCCTGTGGGAGGGGCCCTGCAGCACTGGGAGGGAAGCAGACCTGTCGTGGGGATGGATCCACAGAAGCACAGCTGTGGGTGTTGGCGCAGTGCAAGCAAGTTTGGTGATGGAAAATGGTTCCTTTTGGGTTTACAGCTGGGGGATGAGAGAGGGAGATGGTTCTTGCCAGCACCTTTGTTCGCCTGCCAAGCTGAGCTCTGTCTTCCCGGGATTAACAACTCTCCCTGCTGGTGTCCTCTCGCCCTCCTGCTCTCCAAGCAGAGCTTTTGACTTTTAACATTCCAGATGTTAAGTCTCGATGGCTGTCAGAACTCACCGAGTCCGGCCCCTCCGCTTTTGTATGCCAGACTTCAGGGGCTCTGCCTTGCCGGGTGGGCTACCTTTCCACCACCCCGGGTCCCTCCCGCCGGTCCATGTAGCACGCACCGCCTCTCCACCCTTTCTGCCCTCTTCCATGAGTCCTCTTGGCTATGCTTGGCTCCAGAGAGTCCATTCTGCTAGTCTTCTGTTGGTTTTCTGGGTTATTTAGGCAGGTGTGGGTGGAATCTATGTGATCAGCAGGACGAGGTGAGCCGAGTATCCTCCTACGCTGCCATCTTCCCCTGGATCCCACCCAATACATTCGACATTGATTCTTGAGTAATTAAAACATTCTTGGCAAATAATTTTACTCTTGTCCATCTTGCACCAGTCCAAGAATTTCACCTGTAGTGCTGCAATATGAATGTCCCTGGCTATTCCTCTTAATTATGCCCTCAGTTCCAGAAACCAACAGAATAGAACTGCAGTCTTATTCCATTATTCCTGCTTCTGTATCTATGTGACTCCAGCCTGCTTTGAACATTCTAATTGTTTCAGAGTAAATGCCTCAGGCCCCATGGGACACTCAGCTAACAACATGTAGGGGGCACTGATAGGAAAGGGGCAGGGACATGCAGGGATTCTCCTCAAGGCATACTTAAGATTTTTAAATGTGATGCGAAAAGCTACTTAGGTATAGCCTTCATTAAAATCAGTACACTGGGGGGGGCGCCTGAGTGGTTCAGTCAGTTAGGTGTCTGACTTTGGCTCAGGTCATGATCTCAC